TATTTTTTCATGAGAGACAGAGAGAGAGAGAGAAGCAGAGGGAGAAGCACGCTCCCAAGGAGCAGGGAGCCCGATGCGGAACTCGATCCCAGGACCCTGGGATCATGACCTGAGCCAAAGGCGGACGCTTAACCATCTGAGCCACCCAGGCGCCCTGGAGATTATAATTTCTTAACAGTGGCTGGTTAGGAGTGGCCAAGCTTCTCAAAGTAAGGAAGGAGATAATGATGCCACGGACACACAGAGCTGTGGGAGAAACAAGGCACATTTCCTAGGGTCAAAGGAAATTGGGGTAATGCCAGCTATATATTAAAACAAATATAGCTACAAAATTTACTTATTCATTCAACAAATATTTCTTGAGCACTTATCACAGGACAGGCAATGTTCTTGGTGCTGGGAATATAGTGCTGGGATTTAAATTGGCCAATGTCCTCAACTTCATGGGGCTGAAAATCTCATAGAAGACATACCACATGACAAAAATATAAATAAGATAAATGCAGACACTGCAAAGTATAATCAAGAAAATACAGGGGCACCTGAGTGGCTCAGCCATTAAGCGTCTGCCTTCGGCTCAGGTCCTGATCCCAGGGTCCTGGGATCGAGCCCCGCATCGGGCTCCCTGCTCCGTGGGAAGCCTGCTTCTCCCTCTCCCACTCCCCCTGCTTGTGTTCCCTCTCTCGCTGTGTCTCTCTCTGTCAAATAGATAAATAAAATCTTAAAAAGAAAAGAAAAGAAAAAATACAGTAGGGTACAGACCGGGTGGAGGGGCTAATTCAGACTGAGTGGTTGGGACGGGTTTCACTGATGATGTTGGTGCCGAGGCCCGAATGACAAGAAAAGCTAGTCATTCTACTCAGAAAAGACCACGTGTCCAGACTGCAGTTAGGTGAGGCCAGGTGCTGGGAAGGAGATGAAGGCAAAAGGTAGGCAAGGACCAGATTACAAAGGAAGTTGGAAAACCGGTTAAGAGCAACAACTCCTCTAAGAAGTGACAGAAGGTAATGGAAGCTTAGACAAAAGTGAAAGCAATGAGATGGAGAGATTCAAGTACGGAGGATGTATTTCTGAGAGCGCGTACGGGGAGTAGGGGAATGGAGGGTCAACAACGACTCCTGGGTTCTTGTCTCAAATATCCAAGTGAAAGGAGAAGTCACATACTGACCTGTAGAAGGAGACTGAAGAAAGATTAGTTTTCACAGGGAGAAAACCAGGAGTCCTGCTTTGGCCATTCCGAGTGCAAAATGGCTATTAGTTATTCCAGCAGAGAAGTGTTAAACTGGCATCGGGCTATCTAAACTTACAGCTCAGTGGATAGGTCAGGGCTGGCTATAGAAACTTGCTTCTAAACCATGGGATCAGAGGAGATCGGGTACGAAAAGAGAAGGGCACGAGTCAAGTCCTGGACCTGAACCCTTGAAGCCCTCCAGCATCTGGGGAGCTGGAGCCAACAGATGGATCGAGGAGCAAGTGACTGGGAGAGCATGCTGTCAGAGAAGCAGGGAAGGACAGCACAGAAGAGGATGGAATGGCCAACCGAGCCCCTGCTCCAGAGTAACAGAGAATGGACCCCTGATTGGGCAAAGTGGTGTCGGTCATCTTTCAGGGGAGAGGGCAACCAAAACCTTGTTAGGGTCAGCACACGTCAGCTGGGATGTGAGGAAGCTTCTGAGAAGCACTCCGTGAGGGGTGAGAGAAGCGCCAGAAAGGGATCTGAGGTCCGGGGAGGGTTGTGTTTTGTTTAAAGATGGGAGGAGGAAGAGAATATTTGTATGCTGATGAAAAGATCCAGTAGTAAGAGGCGGCCGGGGCTGGACACTTAAAGAGGGAAGTGAAGGTAGGGCAAAGCAATTTTGGACAGCAAGAGAACACAGGTTATTTGTGAAGTAGAGTAACAACTCCCTGTAGTAACTATGAAATTAGCACCGGTTGTAGGTTTTTCTCGCGCCGCATTCAGCGGCTAGGTGGAAGGACAGCCAGGGACAGCTATGTTTAAAACACACTGAGACTCCAGGGTGACTACGACAGAGGGAGAGCAGATGAAGGAGCTGCTTTAATTACAAGGCAGCAGATGCTAATGACAGGCTCTGAGAAGTTGAATTCCCCGTGCAATAGGAGTGTTTATTAAATGTCTGATAAATAACACAGATCTGAAATCGAGCTTAATCGCTTCCTAGAAGAGCAAGTTTCTTCCGCGTGCGTCAAAGCATCCTTGGCAGAATAGAGAAATTATCTTTTATGTCCAGGATTTCATTGTAACTTTTGTAGAGTGTCTAAAAATCGCCCCTGGCGATGAGGAACCACTCAATGCATGTTAGTTTCAGTTCCGCTTTCCAAGCAGTTTCTTTTCCTCCTTCAGTGACTCAACAACCATTTCTTCGACAGTCTGTGCCAGGCACTGTACAGAGGGCTAGAGATAAAATAACAAGGCAAAATGGGACCTGCTCTGGCAGCATATCTGGGAACACAGATATCATACAAGTAACTACACTTAAGTTCAGTCATGATAAACACTATAAAGTGTTATACTTACATAAAATAGAGATGCTGGAATTCGATTTTCAAACTTTCAGTTAAACTTTTGTAAAAATGTTGCAAGAATCAGAAGTTTAACATTCTGATTTATCCTGAGTATGAAAAATACTAACTCAAAGTAAAAATCTAAAACGTAAGAAAAATCTGTTCACATAGAAGAGGCCAATAGAATTGGAAAACACTGTTACATTCATTCCAAAAATAGGCGGAACTGTCCACTCTGCTAGATTCAGATGTATTTCTGAGAGTTGGGCTCAATGTTACAATTCCTTAAGAAATATTTCTTAAACTTGAACTTTAGGCCAGGCATTGTGCTAAGTGATGAAAAAGGGAAAAGCAGCCCCTAGCATGGGGAGGCTGGCCTGCTACCAGCGAGGCCTTTGGTGTTCCCCTGTTGAACATAAACTGAATCTCACAGAACATCACTACTAGGCAAGGTTGCTCTGTGACCCTGATGAAATGAGACAAACAGATTAAGACCTCTTCATGATTTCGTCTAAGGATGGACAAAAAGCCACAGTGCAAAGCACAAATTCCAAACATTCCCCCTCTCCCCCCAATACTAGTCACTGCTGCTTTTTACCAGTTACAACTTTAACTTTGCTTCATTCTTCCCACCTTCTAAACAAGATCCAATCATAAAATTACCCCACTTCCTGAGAGAATCTAAATCCAAAGCCAACTCTTGCTTCCTTGAACTCTTCCAAATTACCTGAGTCCAAATCCTATTAATGAAGTCCTTTCAGTGCCGATTGCAATACCCTCACTGATTCCCCATTGTGTGTGCTCTGGTTTCAACAAGCAATAAACCCCATTTTGTTCAACTCCTACTCGTCCTTGTGGTTTTGGGTTAGGTGGCATTACCAGCGGAACATATGCATTATGTTATTTAATCCTCACAGCGATTTCTTGAAACAGGTGGTATTATACATCTATTTTACACATGAGACACAGAGCTGTTAAGTAACATCCCCAAGATCACACAGCTAGAAAGTGGTACCAGAATTAGATTCCAGGTTTGATTCCAGAGATTCCTTGATAAATTCCCAGATAATGACCCTCAATTGTTAGAAAGCTAGTCTTTCAGTTAAAGGGCAAAGCCATTTTCTACACCTCCATTCCTTCTATCTTACCTATTTAGTCTTACTGCTAGAATAATGAGTTATGGAACAAAGGAATTATGACCTGTTAGCTTTACAAGTTAAGACACTAACAATGGAGCTTATTTTGGCTGATTTCACAGTCAGAATGAGTATTATCAATAACAGATTGATCGGGACCATTCATTTTCCAAAAATCTCTCAACAGCTTCAGGTTGGAGTTAAAATTTCAGCATGATATACGTCTCATCCTTCCCTTCTGGCCTTCCCTTGATGCCTCCTCGTAATTTATTAATTTAACATGTAATTACTACATACCAGACCATTTTTCCCTATTTTCCCATCATGGAGAACGCCATTTTTGTTGCTGGCAGTGTGTGTGTGTTTGTAGTTGGCACACAATGTTGTATGAGTTCCGGCTGTACAATGTTGTGATTCTACAACTCTGTATGTGATGCTATGTTCACAAGTGCAGCTACCATCTGTCACCATACAATGCTACTACAATACCACTAACTTCATTTTCTGTGCTGGATCTTTCATCCCAGTGACTTATTCATTCCTTAACTGGAAGCCTGTACCTCCCACTCCCCTTCACCGATTGTGCCCATCCCCCCACCTCCGTCCCCTCTGGCAACTATTTGTTCCCTATATTTCTCAGAACCAACCCCTCAGTTTTTTAATGCACCATATTTATATCCGTCTCTGCACATGTCCATTAAGTTTCCACTGATTCTTCAAAATCACCTTTACTATCTCTCCTGCAGACTTCACTGAACTTCCCACCCAATACAAAGTGTATTGCCCTTTGGTAGCCCTGCCATGCCATGTAATTCCCTTGGCTGTTACCGTATCACATTACATGCTTACTCCTCCAGCCTCAACTCTTCAGAAGCAGAGAGATGTTATTTCCTTTAATATCCTTTGCCCTTGGTACAATGTCTGAGAATGGGCCAAGCTTAATACGTCGTTTGAAACCTTTCTTCATCAAACCAATTTAAAGTAGGACTCTATTAAGGAGAACAATTTTCATTAGTAACATATTTCTAGCTCTGTTACCTGCAAATCTACATTAATCATTTAGTAAACTGTGGATTAGCCACAGTGAAGGGCAATTGGTTTTCAGACGACTTTCTGAAGATCTACTGTGGATCGGAAGATAACTTGTTAGCTTGATTTTTTTGTCTCACTCAGGAAGGGAAGTTCAACAGGTCTTTAGGTTACAGCAATGTCATCTCTTAGAAGTACCCTTCAACACTTTTCTAAATGCATGTGTTTTTTTGTTTTTTAAGATTTTATTTGAGAGAGCGCGCGCGCACATGCACAAGTGAAGGGGAGGGACAAAGGGAGAGGGAGAAGCAGACCCCCAGCTGAGAAGGGATGATGACCTCAGCGGAAGGCAGATGCTTACAACTGAGCCACGCAGGCGCCCTTCAATACACCTTTTTAAAGAAGTCGTCATCTGCTATTCCAGGCCACAACTTACATGATTTGGGGGCACTGTCATAATAAATCTCTTTGGTAACTAGTAGGAAAAGAAATACTAATAACAAAAACAAAACAAACTTCACATTATGTAAGGATTACTTTATGGAAGCATACTGAAGAGAATGAAAACTAGCAATTTCTTTTATGCCTTCTGAATTCTGAGCTGATGCAAAAAGAAATGATGAAGGTATTCTTTAAAGCTGAAGCTATAGTTGGAAGAAACAAAGTCATATAGTGTGAAATAAATGAGATAACTTATTTTGTCTACTTAAGTGTAATGGACAATCCCATGAAGAAAAGTATACTAACAGGGCAACTTTTAATAGTAGATTTAACATATTGAGCTGGACTCCTTTGCTTTAAGAAAAAAAGATTCGGTAATCATCTATTTTTAAACTGTTAAAATTGGAGTCAAAGAAAACACACTTAAAGTGGCATTAAAATGACAATAATAAATTTGTAAAATATGTTTCCCTCTTTTGTTTTTGAGAAAAAGGTATCTTTGAAAGGCAATTTTGTGAGTAGATGGGTTTGCTGCAATAGTAATTCTAACTTATTTATTTTTGACATTCCCTTGGATTTGTTTTCAAAACTTCAACAATTAGATCTAGCAGTTTCAAAAAGTTCAAAGCCTTAAACCTTTTCATGTCGAAGAAAGCAAAATAAGCATTTTGTCAAAACAAACATGAAAATAAAACTCAAATTGTGAAATCCAAATGTTATTCCAAGGCAGAATGACTACTATCTTTGGCCAACACTTCCAATTATTTAAAAACAAAAATCATTTTTTATTTTATTCCTTCTGTTTTAAACTGTATCAATATTCCCCCAATTAATTTTAGATGTACTATTTAAGTATCTAGGTTTCAACATTGCCAGCTTCTGTACGTCATCTTCCTGTTTAATTAAAAACATTCTCCGGTTGATTTTGAATGAGTTAATGAATTTCATTTGTGATCTTAATACAAATTCATCCCAAGAATGCAACTGTGATGAGTAAATCAGAGTAGTTTAATGGCAGAACCACAGAGATAACCAAGAAATTCTTCATGTTTACCCATTCATGCCTGAAAATGTTGCATTCAGTTACAACACATGGAAAGCCCAGTGATAGGGGGCTCCACACTGCTGGAAGGAGACAGAGTTAATAAAGACAACTGTCAGAGCTCAGTAATACTACAACATCAAAAGGCTGTATTCTTCACTGATGGCCGCTTCTTCAAGAAGAGAACTCCAAACTATGTTAAGTTTCTGAGAATGCTCCAAGCATTCAAAGGAAAAGCACTTTCATAAAAGTAAATACTTAATTCTGTGATTTTTAAAGTTTATAGTTCTACCAAAAATATATCTAAAACTGATATGTTTTTCTTAAGCTGCTATATTTTCAAACTACACAAGAACAAGTTCTTAAATGAGAGATTCTGGTTAAAGGGCTTTCAGTTTTTAGATGCTGTAACTTCCTGCAACTGAATAGTTAACACACTTTAAATTCATATGATACATGATTTTCTTCTTCAATCACAACCTAGAGCCATAATGCCATTATTACTGATGCCAATAACTAAAACTAGGGCCTTTCCTGTCATTTCTCAGGCACCTGCCTGTCAATTACCCTCAACCGGCAGCCTGCTGGACAGCCAGCTCCTTGAGTTCTCAGTTCCAACATTCCCATTCATTACATCAGCCAGCCACTATTTCCTCAACCCTTTCAAATTCCTTCTAACTTCACAGAACTTCCCAGAGTACATGTTTAAAAGAATGACAAACTGAAGTTGAATAATTCTAATCTCTAGGGAATATTGTCAAACATTCCGTTTTTATATTGTCACTCATTATCAAGACAGTTGATTGCTATCCATGTGGATGCAGAACTAGAGTGGCAAGTCTGTGGAGAATTGCTTTACTACATAGCTGAGCAATGATGCTCGGACTACACTTCATTATCCCCAAGCATTTGTTACATAAGGGAACATTACATGGAGTTTATGTGCATAGATCTATAGAAAATGTAAAGTGGGGTTCACTGAAATTAATGTTGCTACACATTACAGTTAGCTCACACTTTAAAATAAAAAGGGAAATTAATGGTAAGGAAACAGGATATAGTCAAGTTAGCATTACGTTATTCACTGTTTGCTTGGAAAATGCAATGAGAACACACACATACAAATCAGTATTTGTAGACCTGCCTTTGTAATTTAAAATGTTAATGAAATGTAAATTTTTTCAATACAAAATTCATGAATGTTCATCTCTAAGCTACATTGTGTCCAACCTTGCTGGAGTCCTTTTTTTATTTTATTAGTACCAAAAGTCCCTCATTGTCCATTTCTCTTCCATCTCACCACCACCAAAGAAAATACACTTGACATCAAATCACAACCAGAATGGTGGCAGTAAAACATAAAATAATTTTAATTTAGAAAACAACACACCCCTTGCATTTTTTGTAACAAAATCAAGTTTTTGGGTTCCAAGCTATTCATCATGAAGAGAATGTGTTTAATTTGATGTGAAGTTGGCTACCCAGCAGTCTAGTCAGGCCGTAGAATGTTTAACTCAGGGCCTGGTAGGCTGCCAGCCATTCTAAATGTTTTCACACGGACCAGCAATAAATAATTAAACGTCTAAGTCACAGTTCTCAGGTTGGGCAGTAGATAAAGCTAAAAGTTCCTCACTTCTGGAGATAAGAAATTTGGGGAATTTTTTGGGGTCCAACAATTTGCTTTAGGTGATCCTCTTTCAGTTACACAATCAATTTTGTAATGCTTTCTGGATTTCAAATAATTACTTTTAGGGTTTTTTTTTTTTTTAATCACTAAGTTTGCAAAAAAGACTCTATGGCATTTATTGCAGGAAAGACCCCACATTTGTGAACTAGAGATCATACGACTGGGGTTTTAGTCCTGGTGCTGTCACTAACCATCTAGGAGTGCAGACAAGTGACAGACTTCCTAGGTCGTAAGGTTAGAAAAGGAAGGGACAGTGTCTTACCGTAATTGAGAATATTTTCCAAAACACACAAGCTCTCCTGTCCTCTCCCCCCAATTCCAATAGGGGTGGGAGTAGAGTCATGTATATTTGAAAAAAACAAAAACACTCCCAGTTGATTCTAATGCATACTCCCATAGGGCACATCTGGGGGTTTCTTCCAGCTCTGAAATCCCACATTTTTAAACAATGGATGTGGACTATGGCTAAAGAGCAAGACCCACTACTGACAGAATTGGAAAAGAGGATAGTGCTTTTCTACACACATCCTTTCTTCAAAGCTCTTTTTCCAGCCGCAATGTTGATTATTTTGATAGTATTTACAAGCATGCCAGGCATTTATAAATAACCTAACTCATCTTTGCCCTAAGCAGTGATACAGAACAAATACCAATCAAGGCAGAGTGGTTGATTTCTTACACTTGCATTCTTTTACAAAACTACCCTCCAGCAGGTAGTAGTATATTACATACAGAAGACTAACTATGAAGAGCTGGTTTATCAGTTTATAAATCTTAGAATATTTCTGGTAAATTTTACCTATATATGCAAAGTAATTTCACAAAAGTTTTGGCACATGTTGGATGCTCAAACTATACTGCTTATTTTTTGCCTACATGAACAGGTTTGTCTACTTCTTCAGGTCGGGCTGTCCAAGCATATGAATTCTAAAGTTTAAAGTAATGTAGAAGTCACTTTCAATGGATTAATACCAATTTGGGGAGGGGGGAAGCTCTCAATATATAATACAAAAATACTATGTTTCTCACTTCTCATTACCTTTCACCTATAATTAATTCTTACCTATTTTCCTCATTCTTACAAATTCTCAATTTTAGGATTACAGCATGGAAGAATGGTAGCATTAATATAGAAGCCATTGACAAATACAGTCAGATATGCCAGGCTGAAGATATAAGTTCATCCCTATACTTTTCAGCTTTAGTCTTTTAAGCTATAGGTAATTAATTTTAAAAGCTTTAAAAATATTACAGGGAAAAAAACACACCCAGGAATATGGGTATACCAAGATTTTGGAATGTAAGACAAAAATTCTTACCAGATTTAGTCTGGAAATTAAGATTTTATCTATGAAGCATAGTAGTTGACAAGCATCTTTTGTGAAAACCATCTAATGAAAAGGTACTATAAATACAGGAATTAAGGATTTCCTTTTCAGATGTTCCTTATAAATTTCATATTTCCCACTGGTAGCAGAATGCCTTTGGAATTTATGCTTCTTGCCCATATCATTCAACATTAAAGAACTATTAGAGTTTTTACTGATGTAATTGTTTTGATAGAAACAGTCATTTCTTGTCTCCAAATAATGCAGGCTTGTCCTTTTAACACTTGAGATACTTCCCTTGTGATCAATTTTAAATTTGCTCAGACTTATGTAGCAATTTTTCTTCATAGTTTCCATATTATTTTTAACATTTCTAATTTAGCATGTCTAAAATTTCTTCAACTTGTATCAGTGCAGTATTTGTGATTACAAAACAGAGCAAAGCCATATGCGTTAATAGCAGACTGTCAGAATAATGTAAACCACTGAAAGTGTATGTATGGTTGTGCCGCGAAGGTGTTCCTCAGCACCTTCAACGTACTGCCACCTAAGCAAATCACTTCACTGGTTCACGACATGCCTACTTGCATTCTCCTTCCCCTCAGAACATTTGAGTTTTATAGTGAAGAGAGTCTTTGAAGTCTAGAATAGGACACCAAGTAAGGGGCATATAACTAAAACCTTCAATCTGATAATGTAGTTAACATCCTTAGCACCTAGTGACATACCAACAACAAAATTTGAATACGCTCCTCCTCACAACCCAAAAGAACTGGTTCATCCATAGCACTTCTTTTAAGGGACAACGACGACGTCACACCTAAGGTCCTAAGGTGTAGAAAGTATAGCCTCAGTCATGCGCTAGGAAGAATTCAAAAAGGGATTCCGGGGGTGAGAGGGAACCATCTTTGCCACTTGAGGAGGAGTTTCTCACTTTTTTTAAGGGCCCTATATTAGTCAATGAGGTCATCTACGGTATGCAGCCTGGGGTCCAAAAAGTGGGTGGTCTTTGAAGAGGGAGGTGCTCACTCACTCTACCTCTGGCCAGAGCCAGTTCCTGCAGCTGGACCGAAGGCAGCCCACAGACTACACTCGGCACATTTCTTCATTTCTCACTTGAGTGCCCTTCTTTAGTTCCCTTTCAACTGCCCACTTTATATCGGCTTCATTACACCACCGCTCCATTTGTAATGTAAATTGGGAAACTCGGGGAAGTTTTTCTTTTGGCCTTGTCTACGGAAGAATACGGAGAGGTATTCAAAACGTATTAACACAAATCAATGGCACCAATAAAAGCAAAATCTCCTTAGCAACATAATCTTGATTGCAAAAGGAGAACTGAGAGCATTTAGCAGAACAGTGGCCCACATGGAATACGCATTTGTCTGGAAGAATCCAGCACAAAGCCTAAAAGAGAGATTTTGAAAAAATCCAAAATTAACTCACAGGGAACAGTTACTCTTTTTTTCAAAAGTACACAATTGGCTACATTAAATCTATCGTGTGCTTTTGGCTCAGCAACATTGTATCACACCACTTTGCAAACTGAAATTACAACACCCTGCATGCTTCACATGAGTTACAGGGTGTTTTTTGTTTGTTTTGTTTTTTGAGGTTTTTTTTTCTTTCTTTCTTGATTTCTTTAGTAAAGCAAACAAAAAAGTCTCAAGAAATATTCATCTCACACACAATGGAAAGAAAATTGAATGGCTATCTAACAATATCTAAGACTGTAGGTACAAAAGGTTGGGCTATCCTTTTAGGCTTTCTGTGCTGGGTTCTAAGATAGTAACGCCTGCCAGCGGTAATGGCATTTTTGCTTAGGTCTCCGTTTGTGAAAAAGGAAACTGAATACACTTCTGAGAACTCTCATATTTTTCTCATCAGAATGAAAATAAGGAGTGACTGAAAGAACAGGAATTCAGAAAATAAGGAATCAATTCTTTCAAAACTACAATATTGAGATGATTCGAGGAAACAATCCACAAACACAAAATTTCCCTCTTAGTTTTTAAATGTTTCAAATAGAATTGTCCTTTTGTATTTTAACTAAAGTAATCCAGGTGATGGGGATGAAAGCATCTTTACTGCCTAAGATCAACTGAGTTACAATTTATCTTAGAATGAAGTGTGTGTGTGTGCGTGTGTGTATGCACATACATGTATTTTTTCCCATATGTGTGGAATTATTTCTTAAAGGTTTGCCCTAGAATCTGGTTCAACCAAGTAAAACAAAAAAGTAAAAGTGTGTATGACAAGTATTTATTTGAAACAATACAACAGATGAACTTTAAATACTGCTAAATATGTGTATTTATAGTAGTGATCAGAATTATTTCTGCCTCCCACTGAAAGCTTAAAAACCAATGCTAAGCCTAAATAAGATAATTGAGAACCCCATTTTAAAAGCCGTATTGGCTTTTAAAATTTAGGGACAACTCAAATAAGATCTTTGGTGAAAAAAGATAATATGTAAGTTGTACCTTTTCTCTACTTTCTTCTATGTGCAAGTTTATGAACACATAAATACAAAAGTTTCTTTATTATGCATGGTTCCTAAACTCATATTCATGATGTCAATTATTTTACTCCCAGATATTTGTACAGATCATATATACAGATGAAGTATTTGTATGTGTATTCATTCATATGGTCATTTCAACAGACATCATTAGTTTGGCCAATTTCTTTTAAAGTGATTTGATCTCTAAGCACCAGGCTCTCTTTTCCAACTTCATCTAAATTGGCTTAAAATTTTATTTAATGTAGTATAGTCTTTAAAGAACAAATGCTGTAAATTAGCCCACATTTTAGTTTCAAGCAGAGAATCACGTACTGAAGTCACACATTACAACCAACTCACTTAACAACAAAAACTCAACTAGCCAAAGCAAGCAAGTAAAAAAAAAAAAAAAAAAAAAAGTCCCCTGGCTCAAATTAGAAATCCATTTGTTTACTAGAAAAACCCTGTCAATTAGGACTTGATTTTATAAGACTAAATATACTACAACCAACATGGGACCAAGAACCAAACCACTTTAAATATAACCCATCTACATATTTCTTCACAATTATGAAGGCCAAAAAATTTTTATCTAAACCCCATTTTGTTTTAACACAGATGTTTGACAATGGTGTTAATTTCCTAAGAATGAAAGAAAAATATGATATATACCTTTTAAGATTCAACTATATATTTTACAAAAGTCATTTTCATTTTTTAAAATGTTACTAGACTTACCTGAATGTAACTAGAATTACCTGAAAACATAATAGGGACCCTGATCTTGGGTCTGCCTAACTGCTCCCCTACCGTAAGTTTCTGATTATTTTATTTGAAAACTTTCCATGCTTATTAAGGATATAGGAATAAATTCCTAAAATCCTTTATTTAGTGTTTTTTAAAAAACTGTCACACTTACATTATAAAAGATAAATAAAAGAATACTTTATTCAAGGTAGCCTCCCGTTATCTTCTCGAAGGACAGGATAGCAGAGGAAAACTCTATCTAGAACAATATTTTTTCTTTAAAAAAAAAGTTCCATTGTAATACATAAAGACGATATAAAAGGAAGCATAAAGCTCTGTGCAATTCCCCACCATTGCATAATTTTGCCCCTTATAAACCAAAGTGTAGGGTAACAATGCAGTTATTTCTCTCAGCCAGTAGATTTCAGCACACTGCTTTCCAATCAGGTCTACCTTGCTTCCACTGCCAGCTTCATAATGCTTAACTCTTCTGAGAGGACAAAATGTCATTCATTAGCTCCAACAAATGTAAAAAGAAAGAGAGACTTTAAAAGAGCTGTGATAACTTCAGTTAAAACAAACTCCTGTTTATGAAGACTTCATGGCAATGCAATGAGATTATTGTAATTACCTAATTAAATAAGCTGCTACTAGAAGAGAAAGAAGGAGGTGGTCTTTTATTAGTGCAAAAGGTTTCTTGAGGGAACAGAATGCTTGTTCCTTCTTGAACATTTTAAATCCATATAGAATTTATGTCAAGAAAGAACTAGAACCAGTTATACTAAATTACGAACCAGCAGGAAAGATAACAGGAGAGGAAATCTGCAGTTTGAGAATGTATTATGGTCCAATAGAGTAGCCAAAACACTGATCCGTTACTTGTCTTCTCTTAAAGTCTGGTTGACTTTCTTTAAAAACAAATACATACAATTTTGGCTTATCTGCCAAAATTAAGAATGCCTGGTATGATGAGTTTACTGAAATATTTCTGAGATAAAGAGCTGAGAAAGCGATACACTATCCTTCATAAAGAGAAAAAAGCAGTCAACTCTCAAATTCAGAGCATCATGTTTATGAAGTAGAGATGCTATTTAAAGGGGGGGGCATGATTTTGCTTAAGTATCTGAAATGTAACTACGTCTTACAGGGTATTAGAAAGAAACTTTTCTCAAGTATTGTACTTAATGTATATGTGATCTTTAAACATGCAAATCATTACAATAAATAAATAAATAAATAAATAAATAAATAAATAAAGTACTCTAATTTTAAATGCAAAATTTGATAGTAACTCAGGTTTCTGCTGACTCTGTAAGTAGTCAAGAAAGCTACTTGTTCATTTCTTTTATATAGGACTAAATAACAGCAAAATGACTTAAAATATGAGGTAGTCATAGTATCTTCCTTTTGTGAAAAAAGATAAATGCAAAGAAGCCAAGTAATTTGATGATTTTGTAGAACATCAGAAACAACTTCAAAATCAGGATTAGCATTCTGAATTTCTATTTTCAGTATTGTCTATTAAGGCTACAAACAACCGCTGTTGTTCAATTTACCATTGTGGGAGGAAGGGGAATATTGCTCCCTAGTACACAGAATTATGATTAATAATATAAACAACATTTAGGTTTCCCTTACATTACTATCTAAACATCTTTGTAAAAGTACAGAACAAGGTAACTCAAGTTTTAAAGAAAAATCACCTTCACATCTCAACTTATATAAAAGGCATGTTCCTAAAAATAACATAAAGTTGGTTATTATATCTAAAAGTATATTTAACACAACTATTATTAATAGTTTGGTTTATTTGGTTTAGGATTGGCCTTGAGCCTATTCTTTCTGCCATAATAGTAGATATAAATCAGCTTTCTTCAGAAATGGTGGTTTGAGAAGCCCCACATGCAACCATCCTATTATTCTTTCCCTGCAAAGTCTGGACCAATAGGGTCTGTTGATAAGGAAAATACCAATTGCACCACTGCTCCAATGGGAAATTTGACTTTAGAAACTTTTAAAATGCAAGTGCCACCTTAGCAGAATGAAGTGTCACCCATTAATCACTTAATGTGACTAACTCACTTTAACTGGCCTTCTAAACACCAAGCTAAGAATGCAAAAAAATTACCATTTGTACTGCAAGCTCTGGGGAAGGAAAACAAAAGGCAATGGTGAACTATGTCCGCATCTGGATGAAGACTCTGGACATCAGGAGGGCAGCAAAAGGACCCACACTGCTTCAGTAGGATCGGAGGAAAGAGGGTTCCAGGACTAGATGTTGGAACTCAGTCAAAGACAGGTTTAAACCAATTGTACTTCTGATTTAGTACTACTGACCAACACTTGAGCCAAATCAAATATATACAGTGAAAATCAGGCATGCAGCTAAACATTATAATTGTGAAGCAGAATACCATAAAAGTTAAAACAGTCTATGTACATAATGTTATGTAAGACTACTGTAGTTTGAACGCATGCAACTGTGGATCCAGCTGTACATGTCACTATTAATACTCTTTTATAACCCAAGATTGATATGGAATGTTGTCAAAGTTTTATACAGTTTGCCTGTGTCTACTAATATAAAGAAGCAATTAGAGGTCGTCTACAAATAACACTGAAAACACAGCCATGGAGAAAGTTGTAGTTCTTCCTGATTTAAAACGTTCAATTATAAAAGTAGTTTTTCTAGTAAGAAAAGGAAATTATTGCTGACTATTAAAGGTTTGAACACTTCTTGATTTTAGGCCAAAATTACATGTTTATATTTCAAATGAATGGAACCTAGTCATTAAAGAGTCTTAATAAAGCATCTGATGACCATTTTATATAGGTAAGGTGACCCTCTTGTGAGCAGGGCCAGTATCTGCCTTAGAAGCTAAACGTGTCACTTGAATTTTACTTATAGCCTTTAGGTTCTAGAGTATATATATGTATTTTAAAGATTTTATTTATTTGACAGATAATAGTGTATTAAAATAAAAGCTTTGGAAAAGTAAATGTTTCTACACAAGAATGATGGATTACCTGTAAAATGCCAATAATATATAAAAGATTGTAAGTTATTCACTTAGCCTATGCAAAATCTATATGCTAGATTTTCTGCCAATGATACCTTTTCTTGGCCAGTTTTAAAAGTACCTATGGTTCATGTCTCACAAACTTTAAGTTAGAAAACAGGAACTGAAGAACAATTATCATTTTAAGTACTTCCTTTGGACTAATGTTCACACAACATAGGCATCTCTGACATTTCTAATTTCCAGCAACATGGGCACTTAGATTCATGAATCAAGAAAGAATAAGCCAGAGGGCTTACTGGGGGCTACTAATAAAAGCCCAAACATGGAAATCTAACTGCTCAAGGCATAACTGGCTAATGGTAATGCCACATATTAAGCATTCATGGTTCTTTTCTATATACACACTGGAAATATAAGAGTGCACATTTCTCAGGACCTCAAAGCAACTGCCATGCCTCTCAAAATCAGAAAAGCTTTAAAAGGATTCCTATACCTAAATACTATCAACTGTAAAAATTATCTTACGTTAAAATATTCTTATGGGAATAATTTTTAAATTAAAATTTCCAGAAAACTAGGAACAGGAGAAAAAAATTATGTTGAAAAAGGGACAGTTCTTCCTATAAAGCTGATCAATACAGTACTCTACAAATTTACAGAATTTTAGATATAGAACACTGTGTTGCAGAGCCTACAGAGTTATATTTTTCTGCTCTTTCTGAATCCTGAGGCAGATTTAGCCTTCTCCAGACAACAATTGTTCACACTGAAACCATATAGGAATACTCGTTTTTGTAATAGCATTATCTTTTAGTTCTACTACTTTAAGGTGGTAGGACATACCCTGGACACAAGGTCAATAAAGTGAGAGGGGTCTGAATTATTTGTACTTTGAACTCTTCATAGGAAAAGTGGTTTATAAATTCAAGTTGTTAAGTGTTTTGGGGGGCAATGGAAATAAATCTCAGCTGAAAAAAAAAACCAACCCTAATTTTTAAGATAGTTCCTAATGTCCAATATAGGATATAGGATTTAAGATACTAGAATCCAACTATTCAAATTTATATAGAATTACAGTACTTTGGAGGAGTACAGAGAAATACTTTTAAAAAATACAGGTATATAAATTAATGAAACTGGTATTTAAAATATTTAATACAAGGAGAAAAGATATTGTATAGTGGTACCAATTCTTAATACAAATTAGTAAGCATAGTTTATATAATAATTTCAAAAGTTATTCACATTATTGCTAGATACCACAGTTGTATGGAACAAGTTCTTGACACACATTAAAACTTTTATAATTTCAGGTCTATAAAAACAAAACTTTACACATAGGCCATTCAGAAATTTAGAAAGTTTTAAAATGCATGGAGATATGTACAACAAAAGGAAGGAAAAAATATGTATGTTTGTATATATTTAAAAGAAACAAGCTAATCTGATTAAACTTATATGTCACATTCTCAATCAAAAAAGTATACATAACTGGACTGAAAGCAAACTAGTGGATAAAAACAGTACTAAATATGTCCTCCATTTCTTAGTAATAATCTCTTCTAAATATCAATGGGTATTAAACACCAGCTTACTTTTAATTCTACAACTTTTGCTTTCTTTCAAAAACCTTTCAGAAACATACATCCATTCTACAATTATGTTAGATTGGGAGAAATATTTCCCTTAGAAATTTTTAAAAGGAGTATTTCCATACTTTTCTATATAAGATTTGATAAACAATAAAAAATAATGCAAGTAAGGCCATTATTATCATCTTGATCAAAAATATACACAGATTGTAATGCTACTATATTTTGTGATCCTGAGCTCTAGTAACCATTAGGTGCATGCATACCATTCATTATTTGTCTATTCTAATAAAAATAATTTAATCCTGCATTACTACCTCTGAAGACAGAAATACTATCAAAAATTTTTGATAGGTCTTCATAATGTTACAAATATTTCTGCTGTAAACAGAGCATTAGGAATTGTATGGGAAAGGGTATGTTAGGTTCCAAAAAGCTATTAAAGAAAACTTACTATTTTAAAATAATAACTTTTAAATTTTAAAAGGAAGAAAAATAATACAAAGAGTGTGCTTGCTAGAATAGATAAGTAGAGCCTTACAAAAGTGTTCTTCTATATTATGGAATTAATAAATAAAGGACTGTGTGTACCTTGGTGATAAAATAAAAAAGGCTGGCCACTTTTTATGCTAATTTCAAATGTATTTTTTCGATAATACAAAAAAAGTAATCCTTGAAAATCAGAATACATAACAGAAAAGAGCACAATAACTTAAGTATTAAACATCTGTATGAAATAACTTGCAAAGTTTGACAAAAATGCACACTTAGAACATGCGGTTATTTAAAAAAAAACAAAAACAGAAAAAAACACCACACGATTCTGTAGAACCAATGTTATGTCACCACCAGGAGAGCACCAAGCAAGGCACCATTGGAAAGACAACATACTTGGAAAGTCTCTATAAATAAAGTAAATGCTAATCTGGTCGAAAAATCGGTGTCTTTGGTAAAAATTCTATGAGGATGACCTGTAGAAGGAGAAAAAAAAGTTTTAAAAATATTTAAATAAATTTTTATCTTAAACAAATTTCCGTTCTATGCCATCACTTACAGCAATTTTGACAGTGCCCCTGAAGGAGAATGCATGCAGGGGTGAATGACGAAGGGAGCCAGAGCCAGCATTTCTTAAGAACTGACTGCATAACAAGTGTCTCATACTCTGTGGATCTATTTAATCCTAAGAACTTCTCCATGAGGCAAGTATTATTACCCTCATTTTACAGATGAGGACACTGATGATCCAAGTAAGTATAACACCACGCACTTTGGGGTCAATATTTGAACAAAGAACTACCCTAACTCCAAAGCCTTGCCCTTTCTACTGCACCATGTGGTTATAACCAACCCAATGTTTATTTCTTTGGTCTTCCTCCTTTTTATCTCACCCAATTCCATGGGTCTTTGGGTTCTAGATTTGCTCTCACTTTACCCTACCATGATATGTAATCTCTTGATAAAGGGTCCTTTATCTCTAATTTTTTTAAAAAGTTCTTCTCTTCTTAGGTCAGCAATATTAAAGACTAAATTTGTTCGAAAGGACCTTTTACTATGAAACGAAAAGAAAACCAATAAAAACAAAACACATTAACACAGAAAAACACAAGGTGAACAGAGCTAATTTTTATTCCAAACTTGAATTGCCTTAAACGACAATCAATTCTTTCCCTTGTTCCAACTCTGTATGAAACTGATGCTAAACAAAACATTATTTGAACAGTTTCCAAGTTTGGTGAACTCCTCATTTTTCTATCAGAAACTTGTCCTGATATAACCTCCAGGTTTGGACACTCTTCTACATTTAGCCAAATGAGCCAGAAACTTTCATTTTCACTCTTCAATTCTCCTGATTTTTGATCTGCCTCAATAAAGAAGGCTCTTCTACACACAGCTCAAAAATACTTCTCTCCTACTTTAGTTATCCTGTACTAAGCCTTTGGTGCCACCCTTTGCCACTCTTCTGACCTGGTATTTGCCAACAAAATGTTCACTGGTTTCCGACAGCTTTTTATTTGAGCTAGATTCCCGTTTCTCAGTTTCCTCATATAATAAATAAAGGGATTGGGCTAGATGACAAAATTCACTGCAGCTCTAAAATTTGATGATTAAACTACCTGATTTGATGTTTAAACTACTTATGAGTCAACATTCAATAAACACTTCTATATTTCAAACATGTCCTCATCAGACAGTTTTTATAAATTTCAGTTCTTAGGTGTAGGCATTACATTTTACAGTGTTTACCATCTAATGCAAAATAAAGGCTACCTTTGACTATATTTGAGTTATCATTAGTTTTTAAAGAATATATCCTATAACCTCTTTTCACACACAGAAAGAAGTCACACATAGAAACTGGCCACTTGTCTCATTTCTTCTAAATCACACTATTCTACTGTATCCGAATAAAAGACAAGTTGGTATCAAGTTGATATTTTTTCTAGATTGTCCCCAGTATTCAAAATATAATCAAGGAGAATCATTTTCTTTTAATTAACAAATGAAATTTCTGTAAGTTAAAGAAAAGTTGAGGTCAAAGAGAAATATGTGGTAAAAAGGGCCCCAATTCATTAGAAAAATGAAGCACTCTTCATACTATTTTGCTATATTAACTTTTAAAAATTATTTCTTAGGGAGTTTTTGAAATTATGTTATTCTCCCAAGCAACTATCACAAATATACATACTCTGAGAAAATTTAGAAAAAAATACATTTTTGTAGCAATTTTTATATATTTTTCCTTTAAAAAAATTGTATTTTTAAGTAATCTTTATACCCAACATGGGGCTCGAACCCACAATCCCAAGATCAACAGTCGCATGCTCCACGGACTGAGCCAGCAGCCACCCCTATATTTTTCCTTTGAACAACTCTTCTGGATATCTTCTATGATGGTATACGAAATAATACGGCTTTAGGAAAAGTGTTTATCCAAAAATTCATGATAAATTACACTATCTTACAAAGTAGATAGTTCAGAATGTTTTGGATGGTTAAATTATTTTATTTTTAGTTAATAAAAGAATGTCATAAAAATAAACATGAATATTTGAGGGCATTTTATGAATGAATGATGTTCTTATAGTTCTACCTGGAAATAACAGCACTGGAAATATCTTTCATGTCTTCCTTTCCAAAGTAAATTTAGAAATGTATTAGTATTTCAGTTCATAAATATAGCCAAGTATTTTTTCACAAAATCCTTTAAATCATTCCTCCTCCCAAAATATATAAACTCTTACCATCTATGATGAAAGCACTAGACTAGCATTTCTTAATAAAAAAAAGTATCAAGTATCTTTCTCATCATCATTAATTAACATGTTTGATGTAACATAATGATAAAGTCTACATTCTTTGATTCAGTGAATAGAGCTATTCTATGAAAAAAGACATTTTTAAGATGTCTTTTATGTTCAAGGCTAGAAATGGGATTTGACTGTATGATAATGAAAGAAAGGGAAAACGCTACAGAGAAAAATGATTTTATGATAATTTCCAACTATTTAAGCACTGTTTTAATCAATCTCTTGTTCACACACACTCTCACACACATGGACACACATACATATACTATCTATGATGGCTATATTGTTTCAGAGAATAGACAAAATCTGCCAGAAGTATGTCTGCTTACTTCACAAAGACTATGACTTTCATTTTCAACAATTAACTCTTCGACAGATCTTTTTCTTTTATTATAATAACCTTTCCAAATTTAAAATAAAACACCCAAGCTCAGGGAAGAATAAAAATTCATGATTTTCTACAGTATTCTGAACTTCTCAAAAGGAGAAAAATTGTTCAAGTAAATCAAGGAGTCAGTAAATTAAACCCCATACTGAATAAACTCTAAAATTCATTGTATACATATGCCAATCAGATATCATTTAAAGAATACAGGATGAGCAACATCTCCTCTCCTGCTTTACTTTAAGATAATTTTTATAGAACAATATTCTAATAACACTTTGAAAGATTCTTTAAAGGTCACTTGAGGTATGGGCAGTTAAAATATATAAAGGCTAAAGGTTTCTTAAGCTCCAACGGCTTGGCTGAAAGGTTTTCTTCCATACTTGGAAACTTGATTAGCATTATATAAAAAAGCCATATCTGACTTGCTGCGTAACCAAAGTTGTGGTTATTCTTTATACAGCATCTAAAATTTCACACTCCATCAACACATGTTCAGGCTATTTTATCTTGGCAATTAATTTATTATTTTTCAGAACACAGTGAAGCCTTGTTTTCAAGTCATTCATAACTTTATAAATCAGTCTTGCACATGAAACCATGCATCTGTGAACCGTAGAAAATCCCTACGCTCAGGAGATTAAGCTCCTGACACCTTTGCTGATTAATAATCATGGAAAGAATAAGATCAGAAGCAAAATAAATGATCATTTAATAGAGAAACTCACAAAACAGCCCTTTAACTTACATATTCCATCATGTTATTCGTTTCACATTTCCTTTTGCTCAGCCTCCAGTGCAAGCACAGCTAGACAAGTAGGAGAGGAAAAGAAGAAAAATGAGCCCTATTCTCCTGCAGCACACAGACTAACCCATTTGTCCACCTTTCATATTTTTAGTTCAACAAAAGCATCTGTTTCCATACTGTGCAATTCAGACCCCAACAGTACGAAGCTGCTCCCTGTGGTACTCACCTTGTGGTATAACCTATTGTTTTCCCATTCTAATAACTTCTCAATCGATCTTCGTGTCTGGAAGACAAATGAGAAAAAAGTTTACTCTTGACTGGTTTTAGAAAAACTTTGTTTTGCAGCTGTTTTTTGTGTGAAAAGGAGAGAGATAGAAGACAGTGACTGAGTGAGTACATGGTGGTATAACACTTTCAACATTTTAGTACTAAATAGTACCCTGAACAGAAACAGTACTCTGTTTTAATGAAGATATGGTTTTATTCTTCAGCACTGTATCTTTTTTTAACTGTTTCAAACTTATCAGCCTCTGATATGAAACTATCAAAGTCTTTTAAAAAGCGAATGTAAAAAAAAAATAAGAATAAATAAAAAGTTGATGTCATCTACCAAATGATATAAATTTTAATCCATTTCTTTCAAAAATATTTTTGCAGTACTTAGTGATAAAAGTTCCTTCATACATATTTTAAAACTAATTATTTAAATATTAGTTAACAAAATACAAATGACTTTAGGGTAAAATCAAAAAGAAAATAATTAAACATTAATAGATAAAAAAATCAATCAGCTATCAAAACAAATTCTCACATCATACTGAAAAATAATACCCAAATTTAAAAGCCTGTTTATTAATTATCCCACAGATAAAGATTTTCAGAGGCAAAATATTATAAATAAACCAACAAAAATGATACTGAAATGCTTAAATCAATACTACTGTTAAAGGAATCAACTGAGAAATTTCTGTTTCAGTACACTTGACTTTTGCAGTATCTACTATGCAGCATGAAATGGGTCTTGCCTGGAAGTATGAATAAAGGAGAGGATAATTCATGACGCCAGGTGTTAGGATGAGACCGACACAGCTGCAGGTGCAAAAGGGACAGAGAGTGTTGCCACAAGAATCAACTGCAACTTGGTGCAGCTGCAGCTTCCTTGCAAGGGAAGGAAAAAAGCAGCATCTAGTGCTATTAACGTGCACAACTAAATGAGTACTAATAATCAAATATGAAAATTTGCATGTCAAGCAAGGATGAGGTGAAAAATTGTTAGGACCAAGCTGGTTTTGAATAGTTTAATGTTACATAACAAATGGTTAATATTTCTTTAAAGTATCTACTGTAATCTAAGTTACCATATTACCTTTTAGCATGCTGTACATACTAAAGATACACTAGTCACATAGGTGCCAATTATAATTCATAACTACCAATGAATTACACGCTATTACCATTTTCCAAGCTTATGTCATAAAAATCAGAAAATCACCTAACTCTGAGCAATAATATGCCAATGACTAAATTATCACATTACTTTTTTTGAAGAGTTTTTTTTTTTTTGGCAAGAATTTTAAAGGAAAAAAAAGTGCCCTTGTTAACAATGATCAGCAGACCTCACTTGTTTCTTTGTAAAGATAGCCTTTTAGAGGCAGCTCTCCTTTTAAATGAAAATAGGGCAGCAGTTATGGTCACACTTTTTGTTAATTTAGTTGCCAGTCAGCCCCAAATCAAAAGAAAATAAGGCTGCAGAGTGTAATTAACATTCAGTTCAGTCGTTTTGTCCCTTGTCTAGCCCCCAAGCTTTGTTAAAATTGCCATCTGAATGCTGAAGGCTGTAGGGAAATCGATTTGATTCTAATCGCACCATGAAAAGAACATGATCTAACTGCTTTCAGCCCTCCGTAAATCTGTACTAGGTCTTTAGCACAATGCAACTTCCAATTTAAAAAGCACTGAATGTCTCGTCAATGACTTTGTGAAGAAAAAAGAACAAGGAGCAGACATAAAAATTCCAATAGTTGTTTAAGCATTAAAGTTCATTTGCATCACAGCGAACCTGAAAAGGGCTGACCTCTCAAACCGCCTCTCAGGTCTATGAAGTTGTAGCCTTGACAAGCTCACATTGACAGAGCTCATTGACTCTGAAAGGCTACTCTATCAATGGTGAAAAATGGCAATAGGTTCTACTCTGAGCAGGCATCTGCCTGCCCACCCGCTGCTAAACCAATGGCAAAACCGATTCAAAACCTGAATCTACCTTGTAATCTTCCTTTCTAGGACTTTTTAATAATAGATTAAGATTACTATACAATTTGAGGTTTTAATTTTACTGATGTTTAAAAAGGGGGGTGGAGAATGAAATAACTAGGGTGGGGAGAACAAGCTATCCAAGTCCAAGGTTTTACATCAACATATAAAAAGTAAAAGCTTAACATTACATCCAGCAAATATTCATTACTCAAAGAAAAAAGTGTAGTTACCATCATCAGATTTCATCACAAATTTAAACCTATGCTATATTATAAGAATGGATCTCATTAGGAATGGATCCCAGGGTACATACAAAATCAATTTAGATACTTGAAAATAGTTACTTTAAGTAACTGAAGTCAACTAGCAGTTTTTGGATAAAAGGTAATTACAAAGTATAAAATTAAAATTCCAAAATATTTATGTAGGAATTCTGAATTTACTCTTTGCCTCTAATCAGGAGTTTAATGATAGGGTTTGGTATAATAATTGTATCTTACAATATTTAAGAACTCAAATCAAAACAAACCCTGATATGCAATATTCTGAACAAGCATCTAAATATAAAATATTTCTACATACTTGACAGTCTGGAGAAAAAGCTGTGAATTAGCAGCATCTAATCTTGCGATAAGACTTCTTTCCTGCTTGACAGGTGAAAAAAAAGCACTTGCACGTGCAGCTTAATTAATCATTGCACTTGACATCTCAATGATTTACAGTGAGGAGCAGGTGAGAACATACAAAACCAGAAAGGAACCCTTGATCTAAGTGGAACATTTCTAGGACACTAAGGTGACAAGTATATAGATTTTAGCAGTCATTTAAAAAAGGAAAGTAAAAGAAAAAGAAAGAAAGAGAGAGAGAAACTGTGCCACAAATTATTTGTTAGTAACAACAAAAGCTCAAATTAAATGGAAAAAAAAAGCTTTAACTACCAAGAATGTTTAATACTCTGCAATTATTTTAGCTAAAAAAATCAAAATATATTTTCAAGCTTAAATACAATACCAATTTAGCAAATACTGAAAAAATATATGACACCTCAGCATTTATAAAAGCTATTTAAAAGCCTTTCAACATGAAAAGAAAGCACCTTATAATTGCAGTCATCTAGAAATAAAAGTTAAGAGTTTATGTCCACAGGGTTGTTTGATAGCTATTTCTAAAGAAATATAAGATTCAACACTGCCAAACTCTATTACTACTAGACAAGAAAACCTAACCATATAAAAATCTGTTCTTGATTTTTAAAAGTTTGTATCAATCATTAAATTCAATATAAATTAAAGCAAACTAAGATGCACCAGAAAAAAATTAGTACGTACAGGGCCTGTCAACACAAAATACCAAAAAATCATCTTTCAGTATTCTAGGCCAGTGGATTTCTAAAAATAAGTCATCTTAATTTTCTGAAAAGAATTTGGTGCTTGTGAAAAGCACTAGATTGATAGTCATGGGAACTAAAAATCTTCTATTTAACTGAAAAGAACAGGGGAAAGGGCAGTGCAGGCTTCAGTGTTAGCTTCCCTACAGTGGGCCTTAATCCTTTTCAGTGTTCACACCCTAGGGGTGAGAGGACAGGTTAGTGGTTCTTTACCAATGAATCCTCAGTCCTGTAGCATAAGATGATCAACAAGAAATCTAACTTTATCATGGATTCTTAATTAAAAGGACCCAGACCACCAACTCACACCATGCAAGCAAAACAAGTTTTTAAGAGAATATTATGCCATTAACCTGGTCTGGAAGGGGACAGCCCCCCAAGAATCTGGACTCCCACCTATCTTCCTTATCACAGAGCTCACTTTAACTTTTTTTCACACATTTCTTCATTTCAACACCTTGCTAATTATATTTTTCTCACAGGTGAAGTAACTATAATATAGCCATTTGGCAATGTTAAAGTAAAAAATAACAGATTCAAAACCATTTCAATTTCTAAATAAACAGACTTAAGCAACAAGTACTAGTAACAGAAGGATAGAAATTTTGGTTTCTATTTCTATTGCCTTTGATTCCTTTTAATTTTTTGATAGAATTGTGGAAATAAGTGAAAACATGAAACCCTTAATAGATGTAAAATGGCCTGAATAATTCACAAAATGGCTAATTAAATGATGATTAATAAAAAATTTACATTAGGTATGACATATTCTTATCAACCTCCAAAGAGGCATCTAAAGTAAGCTTACAATAGTAAAGTACCTATACAGCACCTAGACATAGTTAAGTTAGCACAACTGAAAATTAGGGTTTCTTGAAAATTCAAATTTGACTTATTATAAAGCATTTTTGCCATTTTTTTCTAAATATCATTACTTTCTAAGGAATAAATTACTATCCTCTATAAGCAAATTACATGCCATTAGATATAAATAAGTCATTCAGGGCAGCAAGGAATCATTTAGGAAACCCCGAGTGTATTATTCCCCTACTTTGTTAACACTATTACTTAATAGTATACTCATTACCAATGATTCATTTATCACAATAAATTGTTTGAAAAGTGGTTTTTCAAAAAGTGGCTTTCTAGAAATTGCTAATAAAATCAATGGAAATCTCATGAATTTTAAAGTACTTCAAAGCCAAAGGAAAAAATGTTAAATGTGGAAGCTGTATTTCTGAATTTTCCGCAAGGAAACAGCATTCTTATCAGTCTTGAAAACATAAAGATGCTAAAATGTTACCAAGATATATAAATAGAATATCTCACTAATACTAACAACTATAAAAGTTCTGCTATTTAAACTTAAAAATTTAACTCAATAAACTCAAACTTTATTTGAATGAAATTTATTCAAATCACAATGTCAAAGAGCAATTTCAAATGCTCAATTTCTTTTTTAAAACATGTTTTAATTTTAAACTTCTAAATTTATAATACATTAAGCTTTAACTAGAACAATGCTTTAAATACATGCATAATCTTTTTTTAAAGTATTTTAAGTATTTTCAAGTAAGAACTATATTTTCTTTTGACATCCATACAAGTTCAAATTGCTAAAATAAGTGACTCAACAATGTTTC